CTAAAAATAATCAAATAATTCCTAATTCCTAAAGGCCATTAAACACTGTATCTCTGAAGTCGCCTTATTACGTATTATTACGTGGTTAGAGCCATGTTGCAGCTATATTATGGTTGTAGCACGAATGGGTCGGCTCGACCAGGGAAGCACCATGCTCTCACAGAATACCAGCGTAAAATACCAGCTTAACGCTGCTGTGTTTCGTATGGTGAGTGTAGAGAACCGGAGACCCTTTTTACTGGAAACAAGGCATTCCATCTTAGTCCTCACGGGTGACAAAGCATCTGCATTTTGATTCGTAATCGAAGATAGATGTAGATGTCTATGGGCCACAGCATCCACTTACCATCAGGTGGACTGTGTGCTCGTTTGTCACCCTATCCTATAAAAAAAATATTCTATTGTGAATATTGTTATGTCTTTGTGTTTAATGTTAAGGGTTATGTGCATGTGTAGTAACTTAAAGTGATTATAAAATGTTCTATTTTATTATATATCTATTTATCATCATCATTAGGTACCATTATTGTGTCATAAATCCAATGATCATAGGCCTCCACATAGATTGCCTCATAGGTGGGACATTTGTCACAATTGGCAAGCATAGAAGGTGGGTCGGTAATCGCAGTTTTATTTTCTAGATGCTATTAGGAACACGTGCCTGCCCGTATAGTGGTTTGTTGCCCATTGTGTCTTCTTACGACATCCACAGGTTGACATGGGGTAGTGGATATTCTTGCAATACCACTGCACAGTTATATCCATATAGTTTTAATGAGTGTATCTTTATAAATTCTAACTAATGATTTTTACGCGTGCAGAATATTATGACTGCAGAACGTATATACCCTATAGACCGGAGAAGGACCAACTTAAACAAGAAGCTTACAGATGCATTTCAAATCAGAGGACTTAGATGGAATGCTTTACAACCTTTTATAATATTTCTCCTTATCCTTAGAAACAGCAGTGAATGTACTTACTGTTTCCATTCATCATCATATACCTCTAAGCATAAAAAGATTCCTACAACATTTTTGTTCCCTATTGATCTTTCTTTATATTAAATACTTTTTTACTCACTAATCAAATATCCTATCGCGTTCCAAGTGGTTCACAACGTCATCATCATCATTACAGCCCATCATGTCATCACTGGCAACACGCACTGGGTGTACAGTCTCGTTTTCAAGGTTTGAGGTATTCGTGAGAAATACATAAACTATTTATGACAAAAATCTGTCGTACTAACGCTGGTCTTCGTTCCCCATTATGACGCATAGTGCAATCATACAATGATGACTTTAGCGATATTGATATTTTTACTGCCTTACATTTGTGCTTTAAAAAATATATTAAGAATAAATTACAGATATTACAAATTTAAAATTTGATTCTGTTTAATACTTATGTTTTTTTTTTTGTGATAGTGTGATAGTAATTTTTTCTCTTCAACTCGTTACTTATTGTTTATACTAATATTTTTTATACGGTGTTGAATGTACATATATTATACTCTTTTTTGATAATACTTTTATAACTTACTACCTAAATTTGTAGGTACATTTGTTTGTATATCTTAATAAATAAAATAAAATAAAAAAAATACTTCTTATAAAATAAAAGACCTACGAAGAAAGTTACAGTGGACCTTTTCTTTTTTACGTGCTATTTACACTTACGTTGTAAGGCAAATTATGTCTCAGCGTTATTATCGCGCAATGAACAATTAACCGTCTGTATTTAGAATAATTAAAAACATAAACGATGTCAGCACCCGCGTCAACTATTTTCTATTTATCAACATTTATGACGCGTCGTGACTTATAAAATATACACGCCAGTTTCTCACAATCCACACATAATAAAATTGGGATTTGTAATATACCTATAAACTTTATAGTTATGAGCTTTAGAACTGACGAATCAACCTTTCTGATTATTTAATTTAATATTTCTATGTTGTATCATAGCCGACTAATTTTTTTATTCAACACTAGCTGGTACCAGAAGCGTTGCTGCTGCAGAAGAAATAATTGTGGAATTATAGTTTTAAAATTGAAATAGTTCTATTGTTTAATTAGGAATGATAATCCATTCATTGAAGTTGAACGTTATATATCTTTCAATTAAATTTGTCGGTACGATATGTGCGCCACCTACCGTAAGTTAATTGTTCTAACCGTCAAATCAGAAACCCCAAGTAATCGTTAGGTACGATCACCCTATACGCCCGCTAGATCCCCTGGCAACCAACGGCCAAATATCTAGAAGTCACATTCGATGGAGGTATATTAGCGAAACACATTCGCAATGTTCGCAATCGAGCAAAAATCATCACTAGTCGCCTCCACCCGCTAGTTAACAGAAAGAGCAAACTGTCCATATGACACAAGCTCCATCTGTACAAAGCATGCGTAAGACCTATTACGTCTTACGCAAGCATAGTTTTCGCGCACGCGGCCCATAGACATTAAACTTGTACGACCTCCAAGTCGTCCAAAATAGATTCATTTGCATAGCCACCGGAGCCCGGTGGTACCAGCGAAACTCTGACTTACACAGAGATTGTCAACTTCCGACGATCTCTGAGTATCTCAAGTAAATGTCTCGGCGCTATTTCGAGAGAGCCGAGACACATACGAACCCGCTAGTGGTAAACGCAGTCACATACGTTCCGACTCCGAACGTTACGAAAAGGCTCCGGAGGCCCCGTAACGTTCTAATCGAACCTCCAGTTCCGCTAGATGCCGACGACAGAACTGTCACCGGCCATTCACACACAAACACAATCGAAACATCATCAGAAGCATAAACATCATCAGAAACCAGAGGTATGGCAACGCATAAAATACGAACAAACAAAAATTATTTTTTTACATATTTGATAGATCATTCTTTATTTTTTATTTACTATTGATTCGGAAATACCTCTGTGTTGTGAAGAACCAACAAGAAACCCGACGGGACTATGTCTGATTTATGTCTTAATGTTTAAGCTAGCCTTTGTATATGTCTGTGGTCTTATTTACTTACTAGATATTATCTGCGCTTTGAATTCGTAACCATTAACGTATTGTTAAACTAGCTCTGTTAGGTAGTTAGTAGAGCGAAGACGATGTATTCGTGAAAACCTTAATGTTATTTTGGATTAAATGAATAAAATCATTGAAATGACCTGGCTTTCTGCTATATTATAATAGGAAAGTCGAAAAAATCTTAACTGTCTTATTGTTATTTTTTATAAATATTAATTACGATTTCGCTAGCACATAATATTCACAAGAACAATGGTTTACTTTAAGTATAATGTGTGACGTGACAAAACTCCCAGCTTCGTGAAAACAGTGTTACTTCATATAGGATGATGAGATGCTTAGAGTTGCATAATATACGTGAGAATCCAGCGCGCAGAGCGGCGTGCTCCGCATGCGTTAATTGCGGCGCTATGGGGTTGTTGTCCCTTTTGTTTAGGTTTACGCGTCTAAATTATAATAAGGAAATAGTATTAAGTATGGTGTATTTTTTATAAAGCGCTGTAGCTAACTGACAAAAAGCACTTTTTTGATTGCATTCAAGAAAGACGCAATAGCTACGGAAAGTTTAAAAATCAGCAAAGCAGTGTCCTGAAGATTACACACGCTTTTTCTTAGGGATAATCCAATAGAGTGGAATTTTAAAAAGTTGTTTTGCAGTGGTTTATTCTGCTTGTTTCCGTTAAAGATGAATTTTCCTCACTTTCGTTACTTTCGTTATAGCTGTCGACAGCATCGTGGTTTAGAGGTTAGAATCATGGTTATTATGACAAAAGTCCTGGCTACGAAATTTTAGAATGAGCTTCATTTCGGCAAAAATACAAATGATTGGTTTTCCATTTATTACCTTGTATTGTGATTGTTTCCTTGTCCTTTTTGTTTGTTTGTCCTTGTCTTAAGTATCATGAGCTTGCCATTACCTAGATATATTGGGACGTAAGAGTGTCTCCGTGTATGCACGTTTACTTCATCGCCACTTACCAACGTCCCGTATTAGATAAATTAAAATTTTATTGTTAATAAGAAGGCGGGATGTTTTTTATCAGTTTATCTATTTGTGTGCGTGCTGAGACCACAAGTTCCACCTCTTACGATCTTCTATCGTTTTTTTACTTTATGTCATCGTTTTATCAGCCCTTCACAAGTGCACTGCAGAACTTAGCAAGTAATGCCAATCCTTCGACTTATTTCGAAATTTTATAGGATCTATATATTAATGCATGAAGAGAAAACTTTGGTACCTACCTACTCTTTTAGAGTATAGCGCGCTTAGAGGAGTGTGCGATTTGGCATACTGGAGAAGGAACGCAAAAAAAAAACTAAAATTTATTTATAAAATGCGTTACAAAGACATTAAATTAAATTAAATATTCATTGTTTACGTTTGTACTATGTCAAATACATATAGGTCTGTCGATTACTTACACATATACTACCATACACTATTATAGTATGTGGTCAAACATTTGTGCAGAGAAAAGATTGTTGTCATAGAATTTTAAAATTTTTCCCAACAAATAATTGCTTTATAATTTTGTATGATTACAAATGTTCTTTTTAACACACTTTTATTAGCTTGGTATGTATCTATGGAAAGGAATTTTGAATGTGATTTTCATACCCTTCAAAACTTCGGATTGATTTGAAACTTCGCACACTTATTAAGGACCGATGGTAATATATAGAATAAATAGTTTGTCCTATTATCCTTGCCAGGATCCTTAGGTTTTGCGAATAATAAAACAACTACGATTTCTGCCAGTTCAGTCTACTGTAAGCCGCGTAAAAGAACTTCATTCTAAAAAAAAACACGATTTTGTAAATAACCGAACTAAAAAGTAGAAAATAATTTTCAATAAATTTAAAATAAGTTACAATAAAAATATTTAATTAATTAACTAGGCGACCGCTAGTTTAAATTGTTTTGTGAAACGATTGTTGCTAATGTGTTGTTTGTTTGTGCAGGGCCTGCCGTCTTGGACGCGCAGCGTGGAGGTGGCGGAGGCGGCTCGCGCGCGCCTCGTGCGCTGGGCGTGCGGCGAGCCGGCCGCCGAGCTCGAGCCGCCCAGGAAGAAGATGCCGCACGCGCTGCGCCGCCGCTGGCCGCTCTGCCCCTGCTTCCAGGTACCTGTTCTTCATCCATACATTAATTACAGCCTGTCAGTCTGCCTGTTGGTTGCCTCGTTGGTCTAGTGATCGCAAACGCGACTGATTATCTTGAGGGTTCGAATCCTGGTTTGGGTCAAAACCAGTTGTTGGCTTTTTCTGACAAGAAATTCTCAGTAGCAATCCGGAGTCAGGTAGTTGGCCGCGTTTCACCTCAATGCAACGGAATATGAGAGTGAAGGAATAGATGTTATTATAGCGTGTGAAGTCTACTGCCGAATATAGACCGCCCTCATAGATTGCCTCATAGGGGGATATTTACCATGGTCGTCCCGCTTGACTGTCGGGGTGGCAACCGCGGTTTTTTTATTATTTTAAGTTGTTACCAGGAAGATGCAGCTGCCTATCTCCTGTTTAATTTCCCGTCATATCAGTGCCCCCATATCAGTGCAAGCACTGGTATTTAGCGGCGGGAATAGGTATAAGCGGCTACCTAAACAAACTTCTAGACAAAAAAATCCTAATTAGTAATGATTTTTAAACGACTTCAAAAAGGAGGACGTACTCAATTCGACTGTATTTTTTCTTTTTTTTTATGTACGAGTATGTTACCTCAAAAGCTTTTTCTACGTGAACAGATTTTGATAATTCTTTTTTCATTTAAATGCTGGTGCTTCTCATGTAGTACCATATAAATTTGATCAAGGACTTACAATTAGTTCTTGAGTTATCCCTAATAATTTATATTGAAGCTGGTTGTTCTAAATTTTTAACTTTACCACTTGTTTAATTATCTGAGACCATCCCTATAGTATAACATATTTAATTTAAAAAAAAGAATCATTTAAATAGGTTCAGACGTTTTCGAGAAATCGGAAAACCTATAACCTTCTTTTTTATAATTTTGTTAAAAATAGGCAATAAACGCAGTAACACAGAATAGATAATAGTACAAGTATTAATTATAATTAGTCAAATTCTTTGCTTAACACTCAATTCGACTGTATTTTTTTATGAGTATTACCTTAGAACTTTTTTGTAGGTGAACCGATTTTGATGATTATTTTAATTTGAAAGCTGGTGCTCCTCATGTGGTCCCGTATAAATTTGATCAAGATCTGACTAGTGGTTTTTGAGTTATAAGTATAATGCATGTTTAATTGACTGACTACATTGATGATGTTCTTTGTACGAGGGTGGATTGAAAAGTACTCGGCCTAACCAAGAAAATAAACAAATACTAAATCAGTTATATTTTTATTTTTCTACATAATCACCATCAAGTTCATTACACTTTTGCCACCTCCCCTTCCAAGCATTTAGACCGTTGAAAAAAAATGATTCTTCCTTAGAGTCAAAATATGCGTCTACAGCTGCTTTGACCTCGTCGTTTGTCGAAAATCTTTGACCTCCCAAGTGCTTTTTTAGGTTAGGGAACAGAAAGAAGTCTGATGGTGCCAGATCAGGTGAATACGGCGGATGCGGTAGCAGTTCAAAGCCACAGTTGTGAATTTCAGCCATTGACTGTACTGACGTGTGAACACGGGCGTTATCTTGATGAAACAGGACTTTTCGTCTGAGCATTCCTCGACGTTTTTCTTTTATTTCCTCTCGTAAACGACGTAGTAAGGTGCAGTAGTAATCAGAGTTTATATTCTGACCCCTTTTAAGATAATCAATTATAATCACACCTTTCGAGTCCCAGAATACTGAAGCCATCACCTTATTTGCCGACAAAATCGACTTAGCCTTTTTAGGGGGTGGTGAACCAGGTCTTCTCCACTGTTTTGATTGTTGTTTTGTTTCCGGTGTACAGTAATGAACCCATGTTTCGTCCATAGTAACAAAACGATTCAAAAAATCATCTGCATCGGCTCCAAATAACTCCAAACAGTCGCGTGAAATAGTCAATCGCGTCCTTTTTTGTTCAACTGAAAGCAGTCGCGGAACCCACCTCGCAGACACCTTGTGGAAACCCAACTCGTTGACAATGATGTTTTGAGTTCGTTCATAAGAGATGCCTATAATCTCAGCTATCTCTCTAATTTTTAATCTGCGGTCTCCCATTATTAAATCAAGTACTTTTTTAATATTTTCGTCAGTAGTTGACGTCGAAGGCCTTCCAGAGCGGGGTTCATCTTTCACACTCTCTCTACCACGCTTAAATTCTGCTATCCATTTTTTGACGGATGAATATGACAGAGCACAATCGCCTAATGTACTGACCATGTCATCATGGATGGCTTTTGATGATAGCCCCTTCTTATGGAGGTACTTAATGACGGCACGCTGCTCGATTTGCTCCATTCGCGGAAATTATGACCGATTACTTTGTTAATAAATTTATAAAATCACAACTAATTATCGCACACGTTTCGAACTTCACACAATGAACTAGTCTGAACTGAACTAAATAATGTGGGTAGATTTGATTTTTAGAATTGAATGGATCTGTGTTAGGCCGAGTACTTTTCAATCCACCCTCGTATTTATATTGAAGTCGGTTGTACAAAAATTTTTATGTATCACTTGTGTACTTCATGCATTAACACGATTATTAGCGTTAAGCATAATATTAGATAACGGTCCATCGTATCTATAATAGGTACTATTATAAAGTCGATAAAATGTTCAGAGGAGTTTAGTGATCAGTTATAATAATTTATAGTTTCGTTTTAAACAACGGCCTTGTTAAAATAAAGCGCATAATTTTGTTTTATAGAATGCAGCTGTCATTAAGGAAATAATAATATTTTTTATTTCTATTTTTTAAAAGGTGCTAGGAGGAGAATGGTTATAGTAGCTTGGTAATTAGTTACGGCGCTCAGGGCCGCGGGTTCGAATCTCGCACGGAACACGTATTTGTAAGGTTTACAAGTAATTGTTCTAGGTCTGGATGTTTCCTTGTGCAATGTATGTATATTAACTGCCTCTACGAAACAGGAGAAAGTCCTCATGTGGAGTAAGGTTATTTTTTTAAAATAACGTGAACCCTTATGTGCATTTTCAACCGACTTCAAAAAAGGAGGAGGTTCTCCATTTGACTGTATTTTTATGTGTGTTACCTCAGAACTTTTTTCTATGTGAACCGATTTCGACGATCCTTTTTTTATTTGGAAGCTCGTGCTTTTCATGTGATCCCATATAAAATGAGATCTGACCAGTAGTTTTTTGAGTTAGGCTGCGTTTCCACTAGAGATGTGCGAGGATGCGTAGCGAGGGATGTGTTTGTTAAAAACCAATAGAATCACTTCATTTGCCTAGTCTCGCTCAGCTCAGCTCTGGTGGAAACGGCTCAGCGGAGCGAGTTTTTTTGTACATACAAAACAAGGGAAGGATGTGTTGCGAGGAATGTGTGTTAGGGACGGACGCCAACGAAAAAATAACAGTCGCTAGACGGTGTTAATCAGAGGTAGCTGTATAGTGTGCAGAAAACATGGATCAGTGGAACCTTACCCCGCTCGCATCTGAAACGTGCCCGCTACACATCCTCTTACCGTTCATCTGTGCACCGTTTCACAGCGTCGCTACGCACCCTCGCACCACTCAGCGGCCTAGCACATCTCTGGTGGAAGCGCTCACACCGTTCCACAGCCTTATTACGCATCCTCACACTGTCCAGCTACCTAGCACATCTCTGGTGGAAACGCAGGCAGAAATGCAAGCTTCCTCTAGATGTTTTCCTTCACTATCGAACATTTGATGATACAGCACAAAAAATTGAACCTAATACTTATTCAGTAACATCGACTACCTTTTCCGTTAGGGCATTACGGTTCACTATAATAAATAAGTAGATCTGCAGTCATTGAGTTCAATGTTAACTATACCGTGAAGTTTCATATGTCCCGAAGATCGTGCAAGGAGACACCGGATATCGCGTTTCAGCGGGCGGCAGGTTCGATTCGCGATTTTTAACGCCCTTGCACTGCCCCTTGTTTTGAATTTCATAAAATCAATTATTGGTAATGTTTAACATGCCAAAAATAATATTCTAGCCAAGTTTTATATCTATAAGAGCTAAAGTTTGAAAATTGTTATTTTTTTAAATTAACTCCCCGCAACACCCCTTGCGGTTGGAATTTCGTAAAATGCGTTAGGAATATTCCTACCAAATTTCAAGTCTCTAGGCCTTATGCTTTCAGAGATATCGTTATGAGTCGGTACATAGGTGGAAATCTCTTAAATACTCGTATATATAGAAGAAGATAGATAAAATGATGTGTCTTACCTAGTTTAAAATTATAATAATATGCAAGGTTATTTATTTTATCTTTATTATTCGCATAATACATATGAATGTATATAAACAAAGTATAATTTATCTAATTTATTATAATAAATACTGACGTGACATTTTTGTAACGTCTCAATTATTATTTGCATAGCATAATATTCTAATCGCAGCTTTATATGAACGAAGACATATTTAAATTCTCGTATTTTCAACACATCAAGTGATACGTGATATTTGTAATAAGCTTTAGTTAATAGATTTTATGGCGTTTAATTTAAATTTCAATAATATTTCCGACCTTTCAAGCGCCTTACAACGACCGTAGTTTCACGGGAAGACAGACGTTTGATGTTCTGATGTTATACGCAAAATGATCTTACAACATTGACACCTTGCAGTGGTATACTTAAAATATTAATTGAACTTGTGATATTCCTTACACCACTCAAAAGGGTAAAAAAGTAAACTATTAATAAAAAATAAATAACCGGCCAACTGCGAGTTGGCTTCGCGCATGCAGGGTTCCGTACCATCGAAATACATATTTCTAGAACAGGAGTCCTTTTATATTTAATTTTTTAATTTCTTTTATATTTATATTAACTTCCTTCTGCGTAGCATTGAAAGGAAGTTAATGGTTTTAGCTGGCAGTCTGTTAGTCTGTATGCCGACACGATAACTTCCGTTCCACTGGACCGATTGACTTTAAATTTGGTATGTAATTTGATATACCTTGAGGTAGTAGCTCGGTCGAGTTTGAATTTGGGTCCTGTAGGTCAAA